CGAGTTGTCGGGCAGGTATCGGAGTTCGTTACCAATAGTCAGGGACTTATGACATTTCAGGGTCGGATTTCGGTACCGTTTGTGGGCGGGACGAGCACCATTTTGATGGAAGAGGCACATCGATCGAAGTTCTCGATCCATCCCAGGGCCACTAAGATGTATTTGGACCTAAAGAAGGAGTATTGGTGGCCCTGTATGAAGAGGGATGTTGCATGGTTTGTCGAGAGGTGCCTAACTTGTTGCCAAGTTAAGGCCGAGCACCAGCGTCCGCATGGTAAGCTGCAGCCACTGGAGATCCCCGAGTGGAACTGGGAACGGATTACCATGGATTTTATCACCAAATTGCCAAGGACAGCGCGGGGAGTCGATGTAATTTGGGTGATTGTGGATAGGTTAACGAAGAGAGCTCATTTTCTTGCTATCAGTGAGAGCTCTTCTGCTGACAGGTTGGTAGAGTTGTATGTGAGGGAGGTAGTATCGCAGCATGGGGTTTCGATGTCGATTGTTTCAGATCGAGATGTACGATTTACTTCCAGATTTTGGAAGAAGTTTCACGAGGAGTTGGGTACGAGGCTGCATTTCAGTACCTCATACCACCCACAGACGGACGGGCAGAGTGAGCGGACGATTTAGACACTCGAGGATATGCTCCGAGCGTGTGTTTTGGATTTTGGAGGATGTTGGGACACATATTTACCCTTGGCAGAGTTTTTGTACAACAACAACCATCATTCGAGCATTGGTATGCCACCCTTTGAACTGTTGTATGGGAGGAGGTGTTGGACCCCCATTTGCTGGGGAGAGGTGGGGCAATGTGTAATGGGTAGTACGGAGATCGTGCTTCAGACAACAGAGTAGATACAGTAGGCCAGGCAGAGATTGTTGACCGCTCAGAGTCGCCAGAAGAGTTATGCGGATAGGCGTCGGTTTGAGCTCGAGTTTCAAGTTGGTGACCTCGTACTCTTAAAGGTCTCTCCTTGGAAAGGAGTGATCCGATTCAGGAAGAGGGGCAAGTTGGGGCCTCGATATATTGGACCTTTCAGGGTAATCGCGAGGGTAGGCAGGATAGCCTACCATCTGGATCTACCTGCGGAGTTGGGTCAGATTCACGACACCTTTCATGTGTCACAGTTGAGGAAGTGTATAGCCGACGAGTCGGCAGTGGTACCATTAGAGGATATTCAGGTGGATGCGGGCCTGAACTATGTTGAGAGACTGGTGGCAATTAGTGATCGGAAGGTTAAGGTTCTGAGGAACAAGGAAGTGCCTTTGGTGCAAGTGCAGTGGCAGCATCGGAAGGGGTCCGAGCTGACATGGGAGTCCGAGTCGGAGATGCGGGAGCAGCATCCGGAGTTGTTCTCAGTATAAGACTTCGGGGACGAAGTCTGGTTTTAGTGGGGGAGAATTGTGATAGCCCGAAATTCAGGTACGACCATTTAACCCTTCATCTTTCCCATAATGTCATTTTGGCCCTTTGTGTTGGATGAGTACGCTGGGCGTACAAAGAGTACGTGGCGCGTAATTATGTATGGAACTGCTCTTCTTTTGGCATTCTATTCCCTTCGGTGCTTGGTAGGAAAATTGTTATTAGTCAAGCTCTATCCAAGGTATATATTATTTTGTGTAACAGCCCAAAATTCAGGTACGACAATTTAACCCTTCATCTTTCCCATAATGTCATTTTGGCCCTTTATGTTGGATGAGTACGTTGGGCGTACAACGAGTACGCTGCGCGTACTCGTGCGCTTAATTGAAATGCGTTGTCACCCGGGTACGCTGGGTGTACCTAAGGTTACGTTGGGCGTAACCGGTCTAGACCCAAAACCCTAATATGACTTGAGGGCTATAAAAAGAAAGAGATGGCCTTATCCCTCAGCCACCGTCCTTCAGAAAGAAACCCTAAGAGAGCATTTCCTTCGTTTTTAGCTTGGGTGTGAGTGTTCTAAGCTTCAAGTGCCATTTCAAGGTAGCAAAAGGGAAGAGGAGTCCATTGTGGAGGCTAGAAGTTGGTAGACAAGTGTAGATCCGAGGACAACAAAGGTTGGAGCCTCTTCCTGAGGTAAAAAGTTCAGATCTTGCCTTGTAGTTCTTATGGTGTGCTCCTTGGACCAATTTCTAGGGTTTTTGGTCCCAAGATGGAGACTTTATGAGCAAGTAGTCTCCATTGGCCTAGATCTATCATATTCCAGGACTATTTGAGTTGTATGTTCATAAAAATGTAATCTTGGACGTAAATATTGAGCCATGCATGAGATCTAGACCCTTTGGAGGAAAAAGGAAAGGTGTTAGAGGGTGTAGGGACCTTTACAGCCATCCCAAGGCTTAAAGGTTCTGACTTTATGGGATAAGACGCTTAAGGAGAGCCAGATTTGGAAGTTGAAGGAGTGTCTTAACCGTTTAAGACGAAAATCCATGGAATGGCTGAAACTGAGATTTACGTTGGGAGTAACTCTTAGTATGCGCAGCGTAAGGGGTTGAGACCCCCGATTGTAGTTCGTTGGCGTACGCCCCGCGTACTGCTTGCTGTTGACTTTTAGGGTGTTGGTCAACATGTGGACTTTTGAGTCAAGGAGGGGTGAAATGGTCTTTTACCCCTCTGTGGGATAATGAAAAGGGTGTAGCTTAGTCTTGGAAGCCCATATTAATTAGAATGATATTTCGTTGTGAATAGGCGGGGTTGGGTCGTCGTTTCAAGAATCGGAGATATCGAGCACATGAGATTCTAGACTTCCTACGAGGTGAGTCTTCTCACTATACTGTACCCGGAAGGGTATCTATGTGTGACTGGAAGTTCGGATATGTTATGATATGTATGCATTGTGTGTGATTAAGTTAACTGTTTTGTATGTGTTATGTATGCTATGCTTGATATGGGCCGGAAGGCAATATGTTATGGGTCGGAAGGCGTTGTGATATGGACCGGAAGGTCGACATGGGTAGGACCGGAAGGTTTACCGGGTTGGGACGGAAGTCCCCTGAGACACATGGACCGAAAGGTCATGGCCTAGAAAGGCATATGTGTGTAAGTAGTATTTTGGGGAACTCACTAAGCATTTATGCTTACAGTTGTTGTGGTATGTGTTTCAGGTACTTGCGAGGACAGTGGGAAGGCGCCAGCGTGATCTGTACACACTGACGGAAGATTTATTTTATGATCTTCGGATTTGATATGTTTTGCATTATGATTATGATACATTGGATTTTTATGGCTTGATTTGGATGAAAACATGTTTTAAGAAATGAAAATTTTGTTTTGAAAATTCACGTCGTTACATTTTGTCATGTACTTGGTCTAACGTATCAAAGAACTAGACAACCACAAAAAGGTAAAATCTTGATGACTTGATTCTTCCCCATTCTTTCCTTATTTATATGTTAACGTTGCACTAAACTTTTTGATTCACAAGTTATGGTAGTCTCCATAATTCGGTCCATTTTTTTCAAATGTCTTGATCCTTCGTGTGTCGTTGCAAAATTAATCAATTCCTATAAATAAAAAGTTGCACCAAGTCAACCTAGTACCCACCTTAGTACATCGAAGCCTCCATCATTTTAGATTTTTTTTATTAAAAAAAAAAAAGAAGAGAGAGAGAGAGAGAGAGAGAGAGAGAGAGAAACAATACTTCTAGAAGTAATCAGGAATGAGGCACTTGTTGGACACCTGCTATTAGTAAATTCATTGCAGCGTCTGCACTACTAGTGATCTACAAACATGCAATAAATATGATAATAATAATTAAAAAAAAAAAAAAAAAAACTGATATTACAATGCTTCATGAAGCATTTATTTCTTGATATCACAATAATCAGTTATAAATAAATTTATATAAGTGTTAGAAATGAAATGCATACCAAGTATTTGAGGTGGAAATAGTGAATATAAAGAATAGGGATAATATTCTCTTCTCCTTTTCTACTGTCATTTTGAGTGCGTTTTTTATAAATATCCAAAGCTGTATCCAAATTTCCCTGTTTATTATAAAATATAAAGTCAGTTTTTTGCTACAAATGGAAATAAAATAATAGTCATGATTGATGATTGATTGTGTTTACCAGACTTTTCTCCATATGAGCCTCTTTTATTGTGGTTTCAATGAATGATGAATCATATTCAAAAGTATCACAAAGCTGAAATGCAGCACGAGCTCCTTCAATATCTCCTATTTTCTCTCTATATCTTGCATTGAAAATATGCACCTCTGATATATACTGTATATCAAAATATATACAAGACATGTGAAAAGATTTCTAATCCTTATAAAATTAAACTTACTTTGCATCTGATGTATATTTCTATTTGGTTTGTAAATCTGCCAAAGGAATTGGATTTTGGAATATAAACAAGAGTAAATTACACAAATAGTTCCTATAGTTTGGGGTAATTTATGTGGTGATGAAGATATTGAAAGGCTAGATTTGCTTTCTTTGGTTCAAACTCATCATGCACAGTTGCATGCATTATTACATATTTACCCTCCTACACTCGATGGGTAGGTTGCTAGTATCATGTTTCATATCACTCCATTTTGATGTATGCACATACAACCATTGAATGTCTTTTGTCTAGACATGATTCCCAATTTATCTTTTTTGTTTTTCTTATTTTGGTTATTTTTTTCCTTATTTTCTTTGGTTATAATCTTTATAGGTGAAGAAGGATGACATGATTCTTGATTCATTGGTGCTTCCACCACTAAATGGCAGAAATATGACCTGGTTCATTTAATTTTGTGACATCAGAACATGGTCACTCTATACTGTGACATTATTTGTGCATGATGCTGACAATTTTCGAACCAAGGCATGCGAAAGAGGGTTTCAAGTGAGTTTTTCATCAATAAAGTAGCTTGTTTGTCATTTTGATTGAACAATCAATGTAGTTAGTAATAGATTGGAAAAAAAAGTGTTGGGTAGGATAGTGTCCATATCAATCCACTATATGTATTGGGTAGTAAGAGACATGTGAGTCTCATGACCCAATATGAAGTCTGGAGTTAGCAATGTCATCAAACACAGCTGAAACTGTGAAAATAGCCAAAGAACTGATGGAATTTGGAGTTTACCCTATGGTCCTCATGTCTCAAATGGCTACACTTATTATGGACATTATTGATGGAACATATCAAGTAATTGAAGCTAGTGTTGACTCATTGTTTGATGGTAGAAGATGTAAGTTATTCTCAACTTTTTTCTTTATTATTATATTTTGATTACTATAAACTGAAACTGTGGATAGATAAATGAAACTAGTTGCTAATTCTTGCGTTTAAACTTTTAATATTGTGTTTTTTCTTTGTTTAAAATTTGTTAAGAGTTTTTTTAATAGATTGTAGCCTCGGAATCCATACGAGACACCATAAGGTAATAAAAAAGATAACTTATTTTATTGTATTTTAAATCAAATTATCAAATCATATATAAACTACCCAAATAATATTCAAATTTTATTTTATCGCCTCAATTTTGCAGACGAGCATTGTGTTTACATTAGAAGAAGGCCCTAGGGTCTTGTTCAATGCTTTAGCTGTGTTTGCTCTAAGGGAGATTAACTTATCAAAAGTAAGTTATTTTTTTCACCCTTTTATTTAATATTTTTGTGATTGAATGAAAGTCTTAATTAAAGTAATTGACAACCCTTTTTCTGTAAATGATGTTGTGATTATGGGAGAGGTGTTGTGTTTTTCTCTGTTGCTAGGTAACCTTCTCAACAACAATATTCTACTTAAGCATGTGAGTAATCAAGATTAAGGGAGACTTGTAATCATGTTTGGCATTCCCTTCTAGTAAGAAACAGAGTTGTATGATTATTTGTTATTTTTATAGGAATGTATAACTCATGTTAGCAATGTATTATTTTTGTTTAACATTTGAATGATTCTTTGTATGACATTATAATTTGTGCCATTTATTTTATTTTTTGAGTATGAAATTTTATTTTATATTATGCAATGGATTGTATTTTTTGTATATGGTATTTTATTTCTATTATGAGAAACTAAATGCAAATTTAATTTAAAAATTAATAAATATATAAATTTATTTTTTTTAAACATTAAAATTTACGATACGCAAAAATGCGTGTCATCTTCATTTATGACATGGCCTTTCTTGACATGGGCTTTCTTGATACGCATTGTGTGTCATTAACACGTGCGTCGTAAGGTTACGACACGTGAATGCATGTCGTCTTCCTTTATGACAGGGCCTTCCTTGATATGCATTGCGTGTCGTAAACGCACGTCGTAAATGAGCTTCGTAAATGCGTGTCGTCTCTCTTTATGACAGGGCCTTCTTTGACGTGCATTTGCGCGTCGTTTGAGCCTTTTACGACGCGCAATGAGTGTCGTAAAAGGCTGTTTTTCTAGTAGTGTATATAACTAAGATTCAAACGACACTTGGACAAACAACCGGATACCCTAAGTCCATAACCAAACAAGGAACAGGAAATAAGGTGAGTTATCAGTTCTAAGCCCTTTCAACCTTACTTATATAACTATATCTATATAGACATGATTTTGACAATATATAAGTTTGAAAGAGTTAAATAAAGAGTTTTAGCATAAAAGAGTTTGATAAAACTGTTTTCAAGTAGATGTTTGATAACACAGTTTTGAAGTATAGGAAATCTATATGTTTGTTCTAGTTATTAATCACATACGATTGATATAATAACTATAATGTTTCAACTTGTATCCCCCTCCCTATAAAAGCATTTAAAATCATTTTAAAAGGTTGGTTAGGGTATGAACTCACTTGTAGTGAGTGGTTTGACTGAAAGTTCGGGAAAGGATACTAAGTGCTAAGTGAAATCTCGGGCACAAGCGGATCCTAATAAGCATATAATGGTACATATATGTATATAATTAGTGTTTATACACCTAATCATGTAAGGGAAAACACCTTATGGATAAGGACGCACTTGAATAAAGGGGTATAAACCACATATGAGTGTATACAAGGGGAGTATGGCCACACTTTGGTGTTTTTGGCCAAGGGTTCACTGCCACATGAGTTTATGGCCATAGGGTTTGCGGCGCTATGAGTTTACGGCCGTAAACTCATAATGTTTTGTTCCAAAGATGTGCTTTAAGGTCTTACAAACAACAAGGAAAGTGTCCTAGGCTCATTCTTAGTCTTAGGAAGGGTTTATGGTTACACATGCACCCTTAACAAGGGTTTACGGCCAAGGGAGATGCTCTTGGCCGTAAAATCTTATTGATCTAGTGAAATGGTTGTTTTCAAGGTACTAATCAAGTGTTTCAACTAGATAACAAGTATAGGGAAGTGATTCTTACTATATAGAAGCTTAAAGGGTTGATTTTGTCCCAAAACACTAATATGTTCTTGGTGTTCTTGAAGATCTTGAAGATCTAACCCCAAAAGATGAAGTTAATGGATGAAATCAAAGGGTGATGCTAGTTAAGAAGATGTATCAACTAATCAAGGCGTGAAACACTTACATTTTTGAAGAACGAACGAAGATCCTTATGATACTTGAGAGAGAAATCACGTTTCTAGAATTGAAAGGGTGAAGAATGAGGGAAAAGTGAAGGGACATCACACATAAAGCGAAGAGTTTATGGCCACCATTAGTTTACGGCCATAAACTCATGTGTTGTGGCCGTAAACTCCTCATGAAAGAGTTTATGGCTTATTTGATGGCTTTGAACTTCAGCTGACACTTCCTAACACTCATTCCTTAAATGTAGTAGGCTTAGAACACTCAAAAAGACCCTAAAGAGTGCTAAACAGATAGAAAACAAGTCTGACTTAGATTCATTAATGGTTATACAAGATAGAAATTTCGGGTTGTCACAAACACACACACACACGCACACACACACACACACACACACACACACACATATATATATATATATATATATATATATATATATATATATGTGTGTGTGTGTGTGTAATTTTTTAGCATGTTTAATATAAAAAATATCTTGAATGATACAATATTTTGCAAGAATAAAACTGCAAATATATTTACTTGTTTATTTTTGACTTTTTGTCATTCTTTCAGAATAACATTGGTTATTTTTAAAAATAATATTAAAATTTAATAAGAATTAATTTAAAGAATTCAATTTTTTTTTAAAATAAGGCAATTAATGATCCCTTAAAATCTATTTTTTTTTTTTAAAAATAAGTTAATTGACCAAAATACCATTTTGCTAAAATTTATGTAATTATTTGATACATGTTACCCTATTGTAATATCATAGACAATCACATCATGATTGTTGATACTGTTCATCCGGTGGTCCAGATCTATTTATTTTGGAACATAATAGTTAGTAAAAAAAACAAAATAACTTAACACGTTATTTATATATATATATATATATATATATATATATATATATATATATATATATATATATATATATATATATATATATATATATATATATATACACATCAAAATTCAATATATTAATTTTTTATGGGGATACAACTTGTACCCACACCGCACCGACTAGATACGTCAGTTCTATAGCGATACGTATCTAAAATCATATCACTACACAATAGAATACTATTAATATTTTTGTTCAGATAACCTTCTTTTAGTTCTTGCAATTTCCCCAATGTTGTAACGTCGTCAATCAGTAGCATGAGTGTGCACGTGGTCGATATATATGTGGACAAGAGGTCGTTAAAAACTTGTATCCCATGGCTATGTGTTATGAATTTAGGAAACGAGCACGTGCTTCTTGCAATTGTAGAATTCTTTTTACTAAAACTTGAAATTCACTTTTCACGGCCGTTCAAACATATTTGTAGGTCAGGGCAAAAGAAAAAAAACGGCTTTTAAAAATAAGTAATCTGAGTTTTTTATAATAAATAATTAAATAAAAGAAAATTATTTATATTATCTTCTAAACATAAAAATTTCTATAAAAATTTGGGCCCTTTCACCCCCTCTCTCTCTCTCTCTCTCTCTCTATATATATATATATATATATATATATATATATATATATATATATATATATATATGTGTGTGTGTGTGTACGAACAGTTGCATAGAGTAGAAACAAAATGAGACCATATAGCAATACGGGTCCTGAGTTAAGGAAAGGTGCATGGACTGTGCAAGAAGATATGCTTCTCAAGAACTATATTGAAAAACATGGTGAAGGGAAATGGCACCTCATTCCTCTCAAAGCAGGTTACAAATTAATCCTTCTGGTGTTACTAAACATTCATTTGCTAACTCCCTTTTTATGTATTTCGTTCTTTGTGTTAATAAGTTTCTTGTTATCTTTGTAGGCTTAAACAGGTGCAGGAAGAGTTGTAGGCTACGATGGTTGAATTATTTGAGGCCAAACATAAAACGAGGAGACTTTGCTCAAGATGAAGTTGATCTTATACTTAGGCTTCATAAGTTGTTAGGAAACAGGTGAACCAACTTGAATATTTCTTAATTACTTAATTTTTCATTCATTTTCGGAATTTCGGTATATATTAATTAAGAAAAAAAGATTAGAGTTACGATATTATAATTTCAGATGGGCATTGATTGCTGGAAGAATACCAGGGAGAACCGCTAATGATGTGAAAAATTACTGGAACACTCATCAGCGTTCTTGTTCGAAACAACGAAAGAAAGAACCTAAAGATGATGAATTATTACAAAAAAGCAAGGTCACAATTATTAAGCCACAACAGCGGATCTTTTCCAAAACCCTAAATTTGGGTAACAACCCTTACATTATGGCTTGTGAAGGTGGTAAGCTAAAATCTTGTAATGATGATACTAAAAATAACTTTAATCTGTCCTCAGGGTTAAACTTGCCATCTAATGTAGTTGATGACAACATTAACAAGTATATAGATGATTTATTTGATGATCATGAAAAGGAAATTGATGGAACAATTGGATGGTCATTTTGTGGTTCTTCGGGGAAAGGAAAGGCGTTAAATGTTGTCGATCAAGACGATGATCAAATTAGTTTCTTTGATTTCCCGATGGATGATATCACGATGGAGTTTATAAACTCGGATCAACTATGATCTTGAACATTGTTTCACTCGTGTTTGTGTATTATTGATCAATAATTAAGAAAGTATATAGTGTTATGTTGTGATTTATTGCATGGTATTAAGAAGCAACTCTTCTGAGTTTCTATATAGACTATATATATGTGATCTAGTAAGAGTCTGCAACACAAAAAGAAGCAATAAAGATTCATAAAGTTTTCTACTTTATCGCCAAACATAGAAAGTCATTCAATATTCTATACAATAAATAAACTTTTAATATTCTATAAAGTAAATATATATGTCAATTAATTAGTATAAACTTAAACTTCAGTCTTCTGGTATTTTTATTATCTATTTTGGTTACATTCATTTCTCAAAGAGGATATCTTAATTAACGTATACTTTTTAATATACAAACCTTTTCTTGAATTTTTTTGTATGACGCTTTTTTTTTTTTTTTTTTTTGATAAAGCAATAATATTTGGCCATTTTTAGATTGTCTGTTTAAACGAATATATAGTTTATGATTTTTATGTAAGAAGTGTTTTTATATGACTGATATGCTACTTTTTGTTTTATTAAGTGCTGGTCCAATAAGTTACGATATAAACCAAAATAAAAAACAAATGTAATAACCAACAACTAAATGATAAAAATATAATTAAATCATGATAAACATATTAGATAATGCGATTGTTTGTTAAAGATATAGAAAAGCATAATAAATAACCGTATTTTTAATCATTTCTCTACTAATAACTACAAATAACCAC